CCCCAAAACCCCAAAACCCCAAAACCCCAAAACCCCACATTTACTGATAAAAATTGAAAAGAAAATGTCGAGTTTGATCAACCAAACAGCTGCAAGCAGAAACAGAATCGCTAAAAGAAAGCAAAATGAGAACAAAAAATTGGAAAATAGAATAATGGGTTACATTGAAACCCTTAGTGCTAAGGATCCAGTCACTCCTTTTGATGTTAATGCATCCCTTCGTGCGAAATTTTATGATTATGGTAGAACAGGAGAGTCAAAATTGAGAAAGGAAATAGAGAAAGCCATGGAGAACATAGTCAAGAAGCATAACCCTGAACAAAAATCAACTAGAAAATTCTACACCAAAGCTGATTTCTACCCTCAGGCAGATGAGCAAGAACAAGAGGATCAGAAGCCAGTACGAACGTTTGGAAATGGTAACGTTGAAGTTTTCGACACCGAGAAAGGACTTATGATGAAAATTAAATAAACCCACTGGAGTCATGAACAGTATGCTCCCTTCTCTAAAGAACAAACAAGAGACCTCTACCAAGCCAGAAGACTCTGCTTCAGAGAAAACAGAGAAGAGTGAGAATAAAGAATCTGGCAAATAAAAGAAAAAGTGAAGACCCAACTGATAAAGCAGTTAAACGGCAAAAGACAGGAAATGCCTCTACTTTTCTTAACAAAAGATCTTATGAACTCCACTCAGATAAAAGATATTCTGATCTAGGAGGAATCAACGATATTATTGAAGAAATAAAGATGTTAGTAGAGTTCCCACTCAAGCATCCTGAGATCTTTAAGCATTTAGGAGTTGACCCTCCCAGAGGAATCCTTCTATGAGGACAACCTGGAAGTGGAAAAACTGCTTTAGCACACTCTATTTGTGGTGAAATGGGTGTCCCATTTTACAAAATATCAGGCCCAGAGCTAGTATCCTCTCTTTCAGGTGAATCAGAGCAGAATATTAGAGATATCTTCCAAGAAGTGGAAGAAAATGCTCCTGCAATCCTCTTCATTGATGAGATTGACAGCATTTCAGGAAAAAGAGAGAACAGTCAGAAAGACCTTGAGAAAAGGATTGTAGCGCAGTTGATTTCGAGTATTGATGAGTTCCAAAATAAGGACAAGACCGTTGTAATTATAGGAGCGACAAGTAGACCTGAATACATGGATACCTCCTTAAGAAGAGCAGGAAGGTTTGATAGAGAGTTGACCCTCAAAGTTCCACAGGAAGAAGGAAGACTCGAAATTCTGTATGCCCTGACAAAAGGAATGAAGATAGCTCACAAAGATGATTTCTTTAAGGAGCTTTCAAGACTCACACCTGGATATGTCCCTGCTGATCTATTCACTCTTTGTAAAGAAGCTTCAATAAGTGCTATTTCAAGAATTTATGAAGAATTTTATCAAGAAAAGGAACAAAAAGAAATTGAAACAAAGGAAGAAGAGAAAGAAGAGCATCTTCCAAGTTTGAACCAAATGAGCGATGAAATAGCAGAAATTAAAGATGAAATTTCCAGGCTATCTCAAATGGCTGACAACTCAAATGAAGAACAGCAGGAAAATCAAGAAGAAACAGACAAAGCTGAGATCGATCAAAGGCTTAAAGATGTTAGCATTGTAGAAGAAGATTTCAAGAAAGCTCTTAAGAAGGTTCAACCTACTGCTCAGAGAGAAGGATTCACAACAATTCCTAATGTTTCATGGGAAGATGTTGGCGCACTTTCAAAAATTAGATCTGAGCTCCAAGTGAGTATTGTTGATCCCATCAGAAAGCCAGAGATTTACCAAAAAGTTGGTCTGACTGCTCCTGCAGGAGTGCTCCTTTTTGGGCCTCCTGGTTGTGGTAAAACTCTTGTTGCAAAAGCAGTGTCAAATGAATCAAAGGCAAATTTCATTTCCATTAAAGGTCCAGAACTCCTTAACAAATATGTTGGTGAATCTGAAAGAGCAGTGAGGCAATTATTTGCTAGGGCAAGAGCTTCATCCCCATGAGTCATCTTCTTTGATGAATTAGATGCTCTCTGTCCAAAAAGAGGCTCAGGAGATAATGTAGCCACAGAAAGAGTCGTTAATCAGCTCCTAACAGAAATGGATGGATTAGACGAAAGAAGAAATGTGTTTGTAATCGCAGCTACCAATAGACCAGACATCATCGATAAAGCAATGCTTAGACCTGGCCGTTTGGACAAGCTACTTTACGTACCTCTCCCTACTGAGAAAGATAGATTTAGCATTCTCAAGACTCTCTGTAGAGATAAACCAATTTCCACAGATGTTAAATTAAAAAGCATTGTGAAATCAGAAAGATGCAATGGTTACTCTGGTGCTGACCTCGCAATGCTCGTCAGAGAAGCATCAGTTATCGCTATTCAAGGTTACTCAGATGCAGAAAGTCTAGAATTAAAACAAGAGGATTTTGTAAAGGCTCTCAAGAAAGTATTCCCATCAGTCAGCAAGCAGGATGAAGAGTCTTATTCAAAGCTGAAGAGCTCACTCAAAAAGGCAAGAGCCCATATTGACAATTAATTAATCTAAGAATTAATTTCCCTCCAGTTCTTTCAGACAATTTCAATGAATTCTCAATTGTTTGGGGTTTTGGGGTTTTGGGGTTTTGGGGTTTTGGGG